AACTACACTGCAACGTGTTGATTTTAACGCATCCAAGTATGGATACCGCAATATTCACTCACTGGTGCATGATGTGCATTTCACATACGAGGACTTCGTGAAGTTATGGTGCATACCTGCACATGCATGCACAGCAGTCAAGACATGAATGCACTGCGAGTCTGGCCAGCTCAGCAGGCATGCATTCTTGACTGCAGTGGTGCAGGATTGCCTATTGCAATGCAGGATTGGCCAACCTACAATGCAAAAGACAATCCTGCTTTGTGCTCCAGGTGTGTCTTCATTCTAACAGAGCCATCTCGTCATATTATAAACGTTGTTGCATGGTAAATGACGGCGTCAGGCTGCTACACCTCTGCAATGCTAATCGCAAGTTACACTGAATTATGTGCCTATGAACTACGCGTGAATTTAATTATTTGCTCGGACGAAGGTGGGCTAGTTGCGGTAGGTTGCGCTTGTGGAACTGTTTAGCTACAAGTCAAAGCTTCACACTGGTCCCTGTTCTAATGGCCGTTATGTCTTGCATAGACGAAATGGATCAGTTTTTGTTGTTGTTCTTCGAATGGTCTGTTCGCCAGACAGCCTGCACGTGTTATGTCGNCACACAATGGCTTCGTCTTCATTCCCACGCCTTCTGGTCTATTGNCTGTAGCTCAACGTGATGNTTAGTCTGCTTCCGTTTAGGTCCGCGTTCATGACTTGTCCTTGCTGGTCTTCTTATAGGGGGAGGTCCATTTCCTTGATGTTCTCCTNTGACCTGTGAATCTCGCATTACCTGTAACAGGAAATGACATGTGACTTTCGACAACAACTCAAGCGTCTGCTGCAGCACACTTGCATGAATATGCTGGTGCGACCAGTGACAATACCACCAAGCATACGCACCCGGGCAAAATGTCATCATCCCGCAAAATAAACCAAAACATAACTTCTACGCCGCCAGGACGCTGTGCGTCCAAATTGGACGGACGGCACACACTTAATAGCCAGCCGAAATGTACGTAACAAATACTTTACCAGCGAATATTGAAACGTGGCATTAACATCATACACCGGAAGCACGTCCAACGAATCGTTGTATAGCATGTGCAAAAGTCCTTCTATGTCTGTGCGACGTAAAGCAAACTATTAAAAAATAATACGGAAGTAGCAGGCGGGGGCCCATAACCACTTACCCTGCCTTTATTAATATAACAAATAAAACATCACAGTACTAGAGACGCAGTTTGTTTGAGGAAGTACATGAAAGCGGTACCAACTAACTCCAGGGTGGGCCTCACTTCGAGCCAGGACCCCCGGCTGTCTTGCATTTGTTATGCAAGCCGCCATAATGCCGTTTGGCGATTATACAAGAAATCACGCGATACAGGGCTCCACTCGGGTCGGATGAACGCCAGCACCGCTCTTTGCAATGCGGTGTCCATGCTTTTTAAGGCCGCCTTTTGCGACCTAGTCGCCGGCCTTCTCAGCAAGCCTAGCTCGTGAAGTGTCTAAATTCTTTAAAGATTTCTTCATTATGGCTGCTTGCATAACAAATTGCGGGATGCGAGGCGAAGTGCACTCTTGCTTACTTCTGAAGTCGCAACTCACAATTCGCAAGGAACACGCAAAATTTTTATTATTCTTTTTATCGGAATACATACGTGTGCATACGTGACTGAGTTTGTAGAACGGATCTCACAATTGGAGAAGTATTGAACCGTTACTACTACAGCAAACAAGTGCGCGAACGTGTTTGCCACCTCTATTTCGATGAGAATTACACGCAAGCGCAAATAGCTGAAGCTTTCGGGCACAGACCTTGCGAGAGGACTGTGCATGCTCCCACCTGGCGAAGGGCGATATCCTGCCGCTTAGAGGACAAATCAGGAACACGCAAGCCACGCAAGTTTGATGAAGTCGTTGCATAGGCGCTTATGGAGCTGGTACAGGCTGATGACCATTCATTGCTCACCGACCTGGCCTTGGCTCTGACAAACTTACTGGGCACTCATTGGAACGTCCCTGATATTAGCCATGCATCGTCTGAGCAGGGTTATGCCCGCAAGAAGGTTTTTACCAGGGCATCAGAGGCACGGGAATCAGCTTAGCTGGCCTATCGTGAGCTTGTGTGACAACATGTTCAAATGGCCCAGAAGCCTCCCACTCTGTAGCAGTGGTTCACGTGTGTATTCGCGTAAAAAGAAAAATAGAAATTTTGTGAGTTCCTTGCGAGTTGCGAGTTGGGAGTTGCGACTTGCGACTTGGATGGATGGATGTTACAAGCTTCAGTGAGCTTGTACGGCTCAGACGAACCCGAAGGCTCATGAACCGCTTCGACTGCACCGAAGATATTAGAAAACCAAAGCACTAACCGAAAGATCGTAAAAAAATTAGACTAAAGTCTATTTGCATCATCTCCACTAATAAAAGCGACTGCTAGCATCTCGCGGCAAACTTCCCCTCTCAGTAACCTCTGCTGCACTATACCTACGATACTAAGTTCTCCTGTCGTAAACGAAACATGTCGAAAATAACTCTCGCAAGACCACGCTGATCATCCACTTGCATGACGTCGTGAACAGACGCGCCGACGGGGACACCGAGGTCCCAGAGTCCCTGCCGCGCCGTGGCAAGCGCAGGGCACTCCAGCAAAAAGTGCCTCTCATCCTCGACGACACCGTTGGAACTGCACACACAGCACACCCGTTGCTCCCTAGATCTGGAGCTCTCACTGTTAACCGCCAGACCAGAGACGCACAACCGAAAACGAAGTAGGGTGCGAAGGTGCGCGGGGGGCATGTAGCCCTCAAATACCTTGGGCGAACCCACCCAGTGCTTGTGACGACACATCTTAACGCTGGGCTTCCTACCGTCCGTGGCGAAGGATCTAGGGTCTGTGTTGAGCCTATCGCTCACCCAGTCATCGTTGATGCGACTCCTAAAAGTGTCCATCAACGCCTCGACATCAAGCAAGCAGGCCGAGTAACGCCTAACCCTCGCGTCAATACTTCCCGCCGCCGCCTCGTCACCCCAATCGTGACCCAAGTAATTGAGGATGCGAATGACCTTGGACCCCCAGCCGTCGTACTGCAAATCCGTTTCTAAAGCCAGCCGTATTTCTTGGCGAAAGGCGCTGTGGTATATGTTGCTAGTGACCTCTACCAAACTATTCCAAAAAAATTTATATACACTTGTACACGCGCATTTTGCGAATCGTACGCGCGCATCCGCGCGTTAACATTCGGTCCTGTCTTTGGGCCGTCTTGTACGGTCTGTTTATTCGGCACAGTACGACCGGACACATTTCTGCGAAGGGGCTGCTTAACGAAAGACCGATTCAGCCCAGTGTACCTGCAGCGGCGACTGCCCTAGTTCCCTGAATAAAAGCTGGAGGGGAGGTACGGAAGCCCCCACCAGCTGCTTCATAAACCAAATCTGGAGCTTAACCATCCGATCCCGGACGGCCACATCGAAGTAGCAAGAGCGCGGGGCTTCATTGGCTGGGTAGCCCTTGTCTAGCAACGCCAACACCTGCTCCGCACCCCAACTCGAGAACCGTACGACAACACAGAGCGCAATTGTGCATTGAAACACTTAATGCCAACGTTGGGCAGTAACAGCCCCTGGCGGCGCAAATTATTGCACAAAGCAAACATAGCTCGTTGACCCGCCGAGAAAAGCTCATCCGTGCAAGAGACAGGTGAGTCGGGGCCGAAATGGAGCCCCAGGTAGCGCGCTCGCACCTTCCACGTGATCGGCCTGTACACTGGTAACCCCTCCTCCAGCCCACGCATAGTGACTAAATTGTGGGAGCTGAGGGCATACACCTGCCTTCTTACTCGGTCGCTGGGATGAAAGAAAAGAAGCTCGCACTTCCGTGCGTTGACAGTGAGCCCAAACGCTTCTGACCATTCCCGCAGTGCCCTGAGTAAGCTCATTAATCTCCGCAAAGACTTCGCATAGAGGCTCAGATCGTCTGCGTACAGCGCTAGAGGCACCCGACGTCCTTCTACGTTGGGACTATCATGAACTGCCATGGCCTCGGGGAGCGCGACATCTAAGGCATCAACGTAATCCGCGAAGCCCTCCACAAAGAAACCAAAAAGCGTGGGGCTTGCGACTTGCGACTTTAGCCGTACGCAAGAGTGCACTTCGCCTCGCACCTGCAATTTGTTATGCAAGCTGCCATAAGCCGCTTCGCCTCCCGTTCGAATTTTGCACGCCCGCGAATTTTAAAGAGATACGTGTAAAGCCCGCGGTCCTGGCTTTTGAGGGTTGGCCTTTGCGCGGCCCGCCGTGGCCTTCGCATTCTGGCTGGGTACGGATTGTTTATTCGGTCATACCCTGCGTCACGTTATTGTGAGGGGCTGCTTAAAGATGTGTCCCAAGTACCTTTTGCATGTGCCACGTACGAACAAGGATCTTTCAAAGCCTGCGCAAGAACAAGCATGCTGTTTCAGGTCCACCCATGCGCCCAAGCAGCCAACCGTGTAAGGGCAGTAGAGACTGAGCTGCCAAGGCGACTATATGTTGCCTTTCAGGTTTTGCAAGCTGCAAGTCACCCCAGAAGCACACGTCTCTATGTTATGTTGCTGTTGCTTAAAGTGCAATGTACCACTAGAGTTCTGGCACGAACACAGCTATGGCTGCGTCCCCAAGCCGTGGGGACCTCTGCCGTTGGGGAAGGCCCTTTGTACCGGGGCTCTCTCCCTTTGGGGAGCCTGAGAATCTCCCCAAACGATTTTCCCTGGGGAGCATTTCGCCCTGGCTGAAGCGCCCTCACCGGACGCGCGCGACCAGTTAGGGAAGGTCCAGGAGTGACTTGCGCCGCCTAGCGCCATCAGCGACCATCCCGACGGCCCAGCACCACACCAGTTTGTACGGCATATACTACCCAGCCCTCAAGCAAAGCAATGCTTCAAACGAAATTTCCCATTGCATGAGATAGACAATTAGTAAGCGAAATTGGCTCTGTTGGTTAGGTGAATACAAACAATAGCTTTGCCTTACCAACTTCACTCGTTCATGAAGGTCGAGGACCAATTAAGAAGAGCATTGCCAAAGCAAAGAGGAATAAAAGGCGACGGGTTAGAGCAAAGCAGCTTCAGAATGCCCTGCCCCCGAGCCTTCCGACAAACATAGCTGTCACAAGTGCCAATGCGCAACAGGAGCCGGTGAAAATTGATAACGACGCGTCCTATGAGGTCGATTCGCCATGAAGATGCTGACGACGCGGAAGCATCTGAAGATGCTGACGGTTTCGCCGCAGCCGAGGAGGAACCAGAACCAGAGCCCGGACCAGAGTCCACGTTAACACACGCTGTGCGGGAAGCGTACGTGCGTGACTTTGCAGCAGCCGCGGAGAGCCGTACTTGCTTTCTGAGCAGCAGCGCTTGTGTACTTCGCAGCCTGGCGGGAAGCAGACTTGCGGCGTGCCCCTGGTGCGCCGTGCGCTCCCCGGAAGGGGGGCGGACCTGCCCTGTGACCATCATCACTTGGGAGCGACCCATATGCATAGATGTCCCTGTGTGCTGGTGCACACCCTGTCGGGCGTTTCATAACTTGCGTCCCACAGAGTTCAACTGCCTACCTAAGGCTGGGTGGGACCACTAAGGCTGGGTGGGACCTCCACCTCCACCTCCAGCGAGACCGCCAGCATGTTCTCTGGTGGCACCAGTCGCTCCTGCAGCTGTTCGACCTTATGTCATTCAGGAGCAGGCACCTGAGTGCGGACGCGTTCTGCTCTGCACTCCTTGACACCTGGCAGCAAAATGGCATCCATTGTCCAGTTTCCTTTTCGGCAACCACTCAAACTGTACACGGACTGCCAGGGCGTCGTGGATGACTACCCGGAGGGCACACTTAGCACATGGCCCCGTGGATCTCTAAATGGATGCCCTTGTTGTGGGGACACTCTCAGTGCAGCAGTGCAGTGAGTGGCGCGGCCGCAGCCGCCCCAGCCCCTGTTACAGGTGCTGCAGCGCTGGGGGTCGTGGAAGAAGAAGCAGCAGTGGAGGGGCCAGAGCCTGGACTGGAGCACACAGAGGTGGCGGCAGGCAGCCCTGCCGCCACTGAGGGCATCCCGTTCC